ATAATACTGTGGTAAACAATTCTGTTTCTTTAAGCATCTTGCCAGGCTGTATCACAGCAGGTGCTAATATTTCCCAGTTCTCCCCAGTGGTGCCTTAAGTTTGTAAACTTGAATTTTTCAAGGCTGTTTGGCCTTTGGGACGTGGGAGGACTTACCCACACACAGATCTCAGTGTTGGTGCTCCTCCTGCCTGTGCTGAGGCTCCTGAAGGCTGGAGGTGCCACTTATGAGACCACTCTGTTGTTCATTAAATGCCCCCTGAGGCAGGTGCTGCCACCACCCCTGTTTGCTTTTGCTGGGCACTGAGCTGGCTGTGATGGTGTAGGGTGGAGGGACATTTAAGCAAAAGAAAGACAATGCTGCTAAGAGAGCAAAGTAGAAAAATGGCAAATGAAAGACAATGTCTCTAGCCATGTCCTATCCCTCTAGCAGAGCATCTGTCACTCACTTTGCAAGGCTGTCCTGGGACAGAGTTACTGAGATTACTTGATATGTCAGGGAGTCTAGGCACCAGACCACTCTGCAAGTCTCATGGAAGTGTTGCTAGCAGTGTGGCTGTGAGCCAGACCCTGAAATAGGAGTTGTAGTTCTTGGGGGCACAGGATTGAAAAAAAGGCTTTTTCTTACCTGGAAATAGCTTCAGTTTTTGAAAAATACTTTGTAATGCTCTCCAATTTTTTTTTTTTTAATTTAAGCACTTAATAAAATTATTTCTTAGGAAGAAATAGGTATTTCATGAAATCCAGTTTTCCCACTGGCAGGAATTTTAGTCAACATATAGCATAGCAGGCAGTTTAGTTTTTGAGCAGAGTCAGGCCACACAGCACAGAGGCAAGTAGAGCTGTCCTTTCTTTATGGAAACAAGATTGCAGAAACTTGGTAACTGATATGAGGCAGTGTCCCACAGAATTTTTGTTGTCTATTTTTTTAACATCATGCTGTCCCTTATCTTTAGGAAAAGAGTGCTTAAAAGTGACTGGAAAGTAACAGGCATATACCAATAACAAGAAGATAATGTAATCAGTCATATAGCAGAAAAGATGATTTTTGATAAACAATATAAAATCAATCATACTATTTAATGTGAAATTGCCTTTGAATGCTTGAAAAAAAAGTTTTTGCTGCACTTGGAATAGTTAAAGGTGCTATTGGGACATGATGCTGGACTTTTTAATAGCATTTTTCATGCTACTGTTCATATTCCCTCTCATTTTGATGTCAGCCTTCTCCAATCATCAATCCCCACTTAGATTTTGGAGGCAGAGAAGGGAAAATCTAAACGTCAATGAGAAAAGGAGATTTCCCTACTAATACAACTGTAAAGAAAAAACAGAAAATATGCAGAAAAATTCTCCAGAAGTCCAGGAAAAAAATAACCAGTATGTCATAGAGAAGAAGTCACTGTAGATACATATAAATAAAATTATGTACAGTGGGCTATTATCTGTACATACATATAATCTGTATGTTCTTTTGTCTATACACGTCTATACACATGTGTTTGAAATACTTTTACTTTAAATCATGCTTCTAAAAAAATCTCCTGCATTTCAATAGGCTGGCCACACCACGTGTCCTTTCCCTCACTGCTGCACCAGCTCCCCAAGCAAATGCTCAGGTGCACTGGGTATTTCTACTGTACCCACTAACTTCCAGAGCCTTTTTCACAGTCCCTCTGCTGCCACTTGCCCTTCCCAGCCAGCCAGTGTGAGGAGTTACTGCTTTGGTGCTGTGGGTACACTGTGTGGTGGCAGAGCTGGGGTAACAGGGCAGATCCCGAGGGTTCTAACACAAATCTCAGCATTGTCCTACAGGTGTGAGGAGGGCGTGGGAGCTTTCTGGATAGTCTTGGGGTTGCCTGGATACTGCTTGACCACTAGGAACCACTTTGCCTGGTGTTCCTGCTCATCATCCCTGGGACCTGCATACTTGTGTTTCCTGGGGAATGCCTGAGAAAGTCAGTTGCCCAGAGCTACTGGGATGCTGCCCAGAGAGACAGCTGGCTGTGGGCACCACACCTCGGGACAAATGTCATGCCACTGGCCTGGGGTATCTCCTTTGTGCCAGTACACTGGGGCTCCTGACCCAGAGCTGTGCAACACCCTGATCTTTCCATCTGCCTGAGGGTGTTTCTGCCCTGAGCTTCCAGCTGACTTGGCTGTGTCAGAGCCCTTCCTGGGCCAGCCCTGTGGCTGGTACCATCTCTTCCCCAGCACACAGGAGATCTTCCCGGAGCTTTCCCTTTCTGAGCAAGCTAGAAAACATGTACATGCCAGAAGGTCTCACAGAAAAACAGTGGTGTCCATAAGTGTGCACCCACTGCAGCAGCTTTCTATACTCAGCTCTCATGCAGGGAGGTTAGATGGGGAGGCTGGGGAGGATGACTGCACAGTACCCACAGGCCATGGATGTGCTTGGGGTACAGATCAGTCTTGGGGGTGGACAGACTCTCATGCCACCACATGCAGCTGGCCGGGAGACAAGCCAACAGCACACCGGCAGTTTCCCCTCGGTGTGTAGTGAGGGGTCCGCAAACTCCCGTGGCCCGGGGCCATCTCCGCGGCTTGGGCGATTCCCCCGCTTTGCCTGGTGGATGGGACTCCTTTCCCAGACAGTGGCAGGTGCCTTATCCTCTCGCCGGGCTGTTTTCCTCCCCCGGCCGCTGCTCTCGCTCTCCTTGTTGTGCTCCAGCGGCTCTTTCACAGCGCTCAAGGTCGAGGCTGGCCGGCTGGGGGGTGCGCGCAGCCCCGTTTTCGGGGGGTGCCCCCGCGTTCAAGGCTGCCGCTGCCTTCCCACGCCCGGCGCAGGTGCTGCGGGGCCCGGTTCTCACGGCTGGCTCTCACAACAACCCCCGCCCGGCGGGACGAGGTGGGGCGGGGGCCAGGGGTCCCCCGTGCCCCTCAGCTCTTGGCGGGCGGTGGGTCCTAAGAGCGGCCGGCCCGGGACCGGAGCTGCCCGCCCGAGGCCGGCGACCCCCGTGTCCCGGCCGGGGGCTCCCCCGGGCAGCGCGGCGCGGCCCCCACGGCGGCGGGGCGGGCGGGGGTCTCCGCGGGCGGCGGGCGGGACCCGCGGTGCCCAATGGCCGCCCGCGCCCGGACATAAAAGCGGCGGCCGCGGCTCCGCGCTCCCTCCGCCGGCCGGGCCCCCGGAGCCGCCCCTCCCCGCCGCCGCCGCCGCCATGGGCCGCCCCCCGCCGCCGCTCCGCCGGGTCCTCGTCTTCCTCAGCATCCTCCTGCCGCCGCTGCTGCCGCTGACCAGGAGCGCCGCTGGCGCCGGGACACGCCGCGCCCGTGAGCCAGGAGCGAGGGGGGCGGGCTGGTGGGGGGGAAATCCCTGCCTCGTCCCCAGGGGCTGCGGTGGGCGCCTGCCGCATCAGGGAAGCTTGCTCATTCCTCCGCGATGGGCGGTGTCGGGGGGTTCCCCTGCCACTGAAGATGTCCCCATTCTACTCATCTCCTGCCGGCATGTCCTTGGCGCCGGTGCATACTTGTCACCCTAACAGCATGGGGACCCCTGCGTCCCCAGGGGCCCTGTACTACTGCCTAGAAGACCTGGGGGGTCCCTGCCTTCCCTGAGCGGGGACGAGGGGTGCAGTTCTTCTAGCCCCAGAGGAGATCCAGAGGTGCCCCTGGATGCTACTGGTCCCTCCCCGCACTGGGCTTCGCCGGGACGCCCAGGCGGCGAGCTGCAGGGCGGCTGTGCATGTGGATGCCCGCTGCGGCCGCCCCGCCTGATCCCTGGCCCGGCTCCCTTTTGCCCGCAGCGGCTGCCAGCCCCATGTGTGCAGCCTCACGCCAGGCCGCTTGCATTTCCGGCTGCATCCCCGTTCCCTGGCTCTGCGATGGTGAGCAGCAGTGTCCTGACGGCACGGACGAGCAGTGCGGTGAGTGGCACCCATCCGGTGTCATGGGGTGGCCTGGGGAGCTGTGCTGCACAGGAATCAAGGGGCCCTGGTGCTCTGGGCAGTGGTGGGGCAGGACAGGACTGAGGCACCTCAGTCTTTGCTGATTCTGCCTGTGTAGCATCCTGCAAGGACATATGTGCTCCAGAGATCCTTGGGAATATCTGTGGCATGAGTACACATCCTGGAAGCTGTGCTCCTTGGACACTGCCAGCACCTGTCCCATGCCAGCATGAAGTGGACCCTTGTTGTTCTGCCATAGCAGTAGGTCCCAGTGACTGTGTGTTGTCCCTGCAGATGTTGCCTGTGGCGGGGACCCCCATGTCTGGCAGTGTGACGATGGCCGGTGTATTTCTAGCAGCTGGCGCTGTGATGGTGCTGCTGACTGCCTGGATGGC